CATTTTATGTATTATTTTTAGTTAAATAAACAAAAATATATTTTCATTTTTTACAAAAGAATACCAAATAAAAAAATAAAATCATTCTTGATATTTTTTTACACATAAAAGGTATTTAAATAACATCTATATTATTGTTATATATATATATATAAATGATGTGAAAAACTTGAATATTGTGTAAACTTATATATTTATCCCATATATATTTGACTTTACAAATATCTGGTATGTGTAATATATTATTATTATATGTGTAATGTTCAAGAATTGAGAAAAAAAAAACGAAAATTGTGGAAAAAATAGAAAATAAATATGAAACAGTTTAAGAATAAAGAGAGAGAGAGAAGAGATACTACATACATATTTCAAAGACTTTAAATATTGACCTGTAGAAAAATTGATTCTCACAGCCAATATACTTCCTTTTTTAATTTAGTGGCTGTAGCTTCAATTTTTTAAAGCAACGAGTGATTGGTTCGTAATCAGCACCTTAGTGTCTATACGGTCTGTGTGTATAAACCGTTTGAATTTTAATTCGGTTGTCATAAGACATTTGCATAATAATACAATGAATCATATGAAGTTTATATACAAAAGATTATGAAATGCATTTCTTTACATAAAATCATGAACCATGTCTTATAGATAAGATTCATGTACTATTTTTGAAATTATAGTATGCAATCGGTCTTTTGAAAAGCCAACCAAAAATCTACGGAACACAAGCGACTATGAATGTATGGCATCCGAAAATAGCTTATGTCAGATCTGGCCTACGTCCGACTCTTATAACAACAATGACATCAATGGCCTATGTTAGATTTGTTTATCAAAACAATAATAACTTTTTATCTATTCAAAATTATATGTATGTAATTTGACTAATAACTATAAATTATGATTATCTTACTATGTATAGGTTTATCCGAAGTTACTATCAGCCGAGATTCTTCGTTTACTGGATGGTATGTGTGTGATTTTGTTTTACTTTACTTTCAGTTTGATCTCTTTAATTTCAAGTATTACTAACGAAAACACGAGTAACAATAAAAATTATTATTACTTTAAAGAAATTTCAAGATTGCTTAGTGTCTATACTGTGTATGAACCTTTTGAATTTAGTTTCGGTTGTCATAACCATATACATCATATATAACAGTGATTAGTGGCGAACGTACCTGAAATGTATTTTAGAAACAAACTAATAATTTTCTTTTAATACTAAGTACTACTAACTGAACTAGAATCAAATTACTGAGTGTACGTACTATTAACTAGTGAGATAAGTTAAATGTTTGATTCTTATATCATAAGCATTTAAAAAATATTAGTTTCTTATATACTCTGAAAATATGATTTGAGCGACGAAAGTTTTAAAAACTTCAGTTAGTTAATAAATTTTAATTTATATATTTGATTATGTGGTCGTAGATGGATGCATATAATGAAAGCGGAGGTTACAACCTCCGTACCGGCGGTTTTGTTCAAACCAGTAGAACAATTGCGATTAAAGGTGCGACTGCTAAAAAAAAAGGTGCTCAAACGAGTAGAACAATTGCGATTAAAGATTCAATAGAAGAATTTTTTCAAACAAAAAAAAAAGGTGCGACTACTCAAACATTGACTTTTTGGAGGCCTCCAAGTCAAGGTGACTATTCGGATATGGAAGGTGAGAGATTTATCAAACAAAAAAATTAACCTTGGTAGCTCAGTGGTTAATTTGCATGCTGCAAAGCCTGAATCATTTTATAGAATATATATTTATATATTACCTTATCACAGCTTGTTGACTTGGTTTAGTAGGGTTTTATTTTTAGTTTACTTTATTAGTGGAGTTATCCTCTATATATTAATATTAATAGAGGAGACTAAGTGAAAATCCCAGGTATCATCTTAAAAGGGTTTTAAGGAATTCATTTTCTAATAAAAATTATTAATAACAAATATATAGAAATAACGAATATGTAGTTAGAGAATTTTATTTTAAGGAATATAGAAAATATTTGAAAATATTTTCTTTTCAATAATACTAGATTTTTTTATATGAGTCAAAAGCGGTATTAAAATATTCAAAAACAAAAYTTRATGATDATTTTTAATAGATGYGAYAAATYAAAAATAACAAAGATAAAATATATTTATGTTTGATCAAAATTTAGTTTTATTATATGTATGCACAATACATATCATTTTTGTGTATTTATAAATGTTAGAATACACATCTAAGT